CCCATCACCATGCCCCACACCGGAGTGTCGTGCTGCGCTGTTGTTGAGCCCTCTTGTCCTCTGCAACCCGCCACTCAGCGAAGAGGCTCTGCCTGGTACCGAGATCTCAGGATATGCTTTGTAAGGGCATCTCCAAGGCAGACCCGTAAACCTCCCACAACCGTCTGGACCGCCGAAGCCATCCGACGTGGTCCTATATCGGTCCGCGGGCGGTCCAAACGCGATTTCTCACGCGAAACGAAGACAAAAGTGGGGGAGCTTTGCGGGAGTCCAGGCACATGAAACGTACGAATCCGACACCCTGGGCCCACCCAAAACCATTCCCCAACCCCGCGACTCCATCCTCCCCATTTTCTCTCCTTCCTTATTTTTGTTGTTACCGTCGCTGCCACTCCACCACCCTGGCCACCACGCCACACCCCTACCGGAAATCTGCGTCTCTGTCACCTCTGGCGATCAAGCAGGGCTCCCCGCCGCTTCTCCTATGTCTCCGTTCAACCCCCTGTCCTTCGACCGCCCCGCCAGGTACCATCCTCTACTGTGCCAGCCAACTATTCGATGAATCGTCGGAGCTAAAAATAGTCATCCCTTCTTCTTTGTAGCAATGGATTCCGATTTGGAGTACATATACGAGCAGTATGTTGAGTCCTCCGACGGCTCGTCGAACGAGGAGTACTCCGATGAGACGATGATGATGTAGGCGGTCCTTGAAGACACGGAGCATGCGGAGAAGCATGTTCTCAATTTCAAGGGCTCGATCAAGGGTTATCGAGTGTTCAACCGCAATAGGGCACACAACCATTTTGACACTGATGGACAACTACTTTGCCCCTGATGCACTATTCACTGACCATTTTCGCCGATGTTTTCGGATGTGCAAGACTGTCTTCGATAGTTTGTACCATGGCGCCCGGTCCTATGATGACTACTTCATCCTGAAGAAGGACGTCGTGGGAACGATTGGCTTCTCTGGTTAACAGAAGTGCATGGCTGCACTCCGGATGCTTGCATATGGCACGACCACTGATTCGTGGGACGAGTACCTACGGATGTCTGAGAGCACATGCGGAGATATCATAGTCAGGTTTGCAACTGTCATGGTCGAGGTGTTCAGACGTCAATACCTGAGAGAACCAACTGTAGCAGACACGGAAAGGCTCCTGGCAATCTCAGAAGCAAGATGGTGGCCAGGTTTGCTTGGATCTCTTGACTGCATGCATTGGAAATGAAAGAACCGCCTGAAGGCTTTACAAGGTGTGATCATGCACAACATGATCATCGAGGATGAGGGTGACGATGCTGCCGCAACTCTGGAATTTGAGAACATGGGTGATCCTATCTAACTTTCGGACCAAAATCTGGCCACATTTGAGGAGTTTATTCAAATGCATCAAAAAATTCAGCATCGACAAACTTATGAGCAGCTGAAGGAAGATCTGATTGAGCATCAATGAACGGTGAAAGGGGATAACAATGTTGGTATGTAATATTGGAACTATTCAAAATTTGAACTTGTGCTGCATGCGGCTATTTGAATGTTTGTATCCTTTTCATGCGGCTATTTGATCATGCGACTTGAAATTTTTTTGAGGAAGGCATGATGTATGCGGCTCGGTTGGATGGATGCCTTTTTTACTGGTTGCCGTTGGAGATGCCTTAAGAGGACTACCTTTCTATTTTATATAGTTAGACCGTGTATTTTGATTGGTGCATTATCATAGAGCGGGGCGCGAGAAGCGAAGAGGAGAGAAGGGGCACCCCTGGGCGACGTGCGTTTTATAAAATGAAGAAGTTGCCTTTCTTCCTTCGTTAGCTCTTCTTAATCATAGACGGAGGGGGCACGTCGTGCTTTGCAGCGGCTTAGGTCGAGGTTGTGCACGTGTTGCCATTGCTCGATGGGCCGCCGGCGGTGCTCGTCTAGATTTCGCTGGGTAGTGAGGCCGTTGTCTCTTATTTTCATTTTTTCAAATTACACAACAACTATCTCTTTTTTTTGGACAGGATACTCAGTATACCTGGCCATGGGCAGCCCGACCCGGTTGGCCCGACCCGACCCGGCCAGAAAAAGCCCGACCCGACCTTGTCCATGGGCCGGGCTCGGACCTAGGTTTTAAGCCCGAAGCCCGGGCCGGGCCAGGCCCGGGCCCGTCGATTTCATCATTTAAGGAAGAGGCTCGGCCCGTGGCCCGAGGCCCAACGGGCTTTTAGTGTGATGGGCCGGGCTCAGGCCTAATTTTTAGGCTCGACGGCCGGCCCGGGCCGGGCTTCGGGCCGGGGTTGGCCCGGCCCGGCCCGAGGAATGACCAGTTATAATACTCAGACAAGTATCTTTGTTTCACAGGACGGCAGAGGTTACAAATTTTCCTTTTGAAGAATGTTAGCCTCCAATTTTTCACACGAAAAACTGCGTCCACACACATATGTTATCCTGAATTTTTCATGTCGATGGATGCGCACGGTCCACTTGTCTGTCATCGCTTGTCCGACATGAGCGGTGCATATGTACCATCAACCAAGCAGCGATATTCACGTGCAGGCATAAATACGGACCACATCTTAAGCTCCCACGCGATCCACGGGGGCACTTTTTTTTTTTGAGGGGTACGGGGGCACTGTTATACTGTATATAGTAACTCGTGAGAGCAACCACCAGGACAGCGAACCGAAAATATGACACGCGGAGTACTATATATAGGAAATTTTATATATTCATTCATGGATGTACCCATAGACGTCCTACGTGATTGATGGAGGATTGCAGAATGTATGTCCCCACCACGATCACAAGGTCCCCGGCTGACGACGCATCCTATCGCAAGGCCCCGCGCACGTCCAAATCGCATGGCCCAATGGCCCATGGTGGCCAATAAACCGCTGATTTTTCATTGGCGAAATGAAGGCACCGACACCAAAATGTGAAGTGATCCATATGGAACGGGGGGTATACGTGGGGTAGTTTCGGCAGTCCCTACGGGAACGGGCTCGTGTCGCCGATTCTCTCTAGATTTCGTTCATGTAAAAAGTTTCAGATAGAAATTTACACGACCGTGAGCCGACCACTTCATCCCGTAAATACTATCCGTAATAAACTTTCTGTAGATGTAGAGACTATACAGCATGCTCTCTGAAGCCATTAGCCAGTAATACTTTATTGCTTAAACTACTATAGAAGTAGTACTCTTTTTTTGCGAGACTATACAAGTAGTACTTAAGAGCACCGATGTCTAATCAAATACTCATTTTAGCATGAAGAGACAAAAACCGATTTATTCTGTAATTTACATTTCCAGAAATATAAGGAGGAAGCCTTTCCTAAGATCTAATTCGTTTTTTAACACAGTACATATGCATACGCTTGTACATACACACGTACACTCACCTCTATAAACACACGTGCTCACGCCCTACCCTATGAGCAACATTCGAGAGACTGGGCCGGCATATCTTTTTGACATTGATCGCCACAGATGCCTTCATAATCAACCAGAACGTCTACTCTCACTGAATGCACATCACCAGAAAGTCTGAAATAACTCCAGAAAATGCGAGCACTGGTACTTGAACTTTAGAAGACTGGGGATATCATTGTCCTCCTGACCATCCAACCACGGTTGATACGCCCTAAGATTTAGTTTTGATTAACAATTTGTTCATCTATACATGAATTATCTGTATATAAAATTGATACTAGTGAAATTTTTCTTTAATACAAAGACAAAAATAACACTTTTATAGTTGAGCAAAGTTTTGGTAAAGAAAGATGATGATTTCGTACTCCAATTTATTTATATTTTGTATATTTGTTCTGTCCTAGGTCAAACTTTGTAATAAAGTATATAATGGAAACTATGCATGTATTATTGAAGAAAGTTTTGGTAAGAGCTTTTCCGGCGTGCTGGTCCTACTGGGTCGAGGATGGTGACTTCCCGTCGTCAACAGTTTGTGCGCATGACTAAGGTTGTCAGCGCTCCCTCTGGGAGCGGCGGCAATGGCGGCTGCGGCGCGCCCTCATCCCGCGTCGGAGATGTTTCTGTATTGGTTCTCTAGAGTGTTCGTTGTAATTCCCTTATCTTGTGGGGTGCGTTGTACCACTGCTTACTTTTAATATAATCTGGGGTCCTTTTCACAAATGCTTAGAAACATTTTTTAATACAGTACAGAGGCAAGCGCTCATACATATGCTCATACACTCACCCCTATGAACGTACGCACGCATATCCTATCCCTATGAGCACCTTCGAAAGACTGAGCCGGCATATCATCTTGAGATTTACGAAGTCACAGTAGGTACATTGTCATCGACGAAAACGTCTCCTCCCAGTGAAAGCACATCGCCGAAAATCCTGAAATAATCCAGGAATAATGCAAGCATCAGGACTTAAACCCTGATGGACCGGGGATACCACTGTTCCTCTAACCATCCAATCATAAGTGGGTTCACCACTTCTTAGAAACATTGATGCCTAATCAAACACTCTTTCATAAAATAAAGCACTAAGGCTATTCCGTCTAGCAAAAAAAAAAACGACTCATTTTGCTGAGCGCTTATCCAACCACTTGAACTGTACATGGTCTAAAATGCTCTATGAGAGATTTTATACGATGCGAGTTGTGTTAATATAAGTTGTGGTTATTATACGCAGATGGCATACACCTCCGATGCATGGTTCCTTGACCACAACAGCATCTCTAAGCGATCGATCTCCACCAACTTAATCTCGGGATCTGCAATTTTTTGGCATTTGTTAGTTGACATTTTTAGTACCAGCCAGCTATAGATATACGTGAAAAATTGTGCAACGCATCGTTCGGATCCCGTTCATTAATTTGATGTACTCCGTAGCCACTCCCCCCACAGCTCCAACCCTAGGTACCCAACTTGCTATATATACGCGCACCAGCTCTACACAGGGACGCTCAGACTCCAACCACAGGCACAGCACACAAAACAAGTCTTGTGGTATAGAGAAACGGAGCTAGGGAAGCTAGCTAGCTCGACCATGGGTGGTGTTCGGCAGCAGCTCATGGCCGCCGTCCTCGTGGCGGTGGCGCTGATGGCCACGGCGGCGGAGGGGTACATCACTCAGAAGACATGGGGCGCCATCCGCCGGGCGAACCGCGCCGGGCCGTTCGTCGGCCTCGTCGTGCCCAACACATACGAGATTTTTTTTTTCGAAAAGGGGCGCTTTATTACTTAAAAGATTTAAGCATTACACCCGGACTCTGCATGACTAAGATGCACACAGCCAAATAATATCCTCTCACACAAAATAAAAATAGAAAGGCGAATTACAACGAAACATGTAGACTCCGTATAACGCCTAATATGGAGGGGGGTCAATCCTTAGATCATGCTGCCACCCATGTTGGGTAAAAGTATCCCTCGCCGTAGCCTCCAATCGTGTACACACCTCCGTAAACAGGCCTCGATTCTCCACGCGTTGTAGAGAGGACCATAAACGAAGAGTCCCGATACATCTGTAGATAACCTGCAACAGAGAAGTACTTTTATCGTTAAAAACCTTATCATTTCTACATAGCCAAAGCGACCAAATAATGGCAAGCGCTCCCACCCTGAAAAGAGTTCTAAACCTGTGATCAATCCCATGTAACCAGTTGCCAAATACATTAGCAACACTACAGGGAGGATACAAGCCAGAAGCTATTTGGATGACTGACCATATAGAACGAGCCAATTTGCATTGAAAGAATAAATGTTTTATTGTCTTCTCATGGTGACAAAATACACATTGCGGGCTTCCATGCCAATTCCTCTTAATAAGGTTATCTTTAGTAAGAATGACTCCGCGACGAAGATACCATGCAAAGATTTTATTCTTAAGAGGTATCTTCATCTTCCAGATCTTCTTGTTATTAACAACTGGCACATCGGACTGAATTAACGCTCTATACATAGAATCCACTGAGAATTGTCCATTCCCATGGAGGTTCCATCGAAATACATCAGACCCATGTGACAATTGCACCGTGGACAACCGTTGGAGCAGGATATTCCACGATTGGAGTCTGGGTCCAATTAAGTCTCTTCTGAACGTCACATTTGGTGGAAATGATTCCATTACCGTGGCGATAGTATCACCTTTGTGGCGTACAATGTTGTATAGAACCGGATATTGTTCCCGGAGTGTGGCATTTCCTAGCCACTTGTCCTCCCAGAATCTAATTTCCGAGCCGTCCTTAATCGAGAAGGATCCATAGCAGAAGAAATATTTCTTCGTAGCCATTAGACTTGCCCAAAAGTGGGAATCCCCAGGCTTCCAATATACTTGGGATATCGCCTTGGAACCCACATATTTCCTCCTTAGGAGGGTTTGCCATACACCATCTTCTGTTAGTAATTTAAACAACCATTTGCCGATGAGGGCCCTATTCTTAACCTCAAGGTCATGAATGCCCAACCCGCCTTGGTCTTTGGGACGGCAAACCACACTCCATTTAGCCAGTCGATATTTCTTACTATCGCTATCTCCTTGCCAAAAGAATCTTGATCGGAAATAATCCAATCTATGTAAAACTCCTTTCGGTAACTGGAAGAAGGAAATCATATATAGTACCATATTACTAAGTACTGAATTTATGAGTACCAATCTTCCACCCAGAAACAGCAGTTTACCTTTCCAACTGCTAAGTCTTTTTTGCAGTCTCTCCTCGACGTGTTTCCATTCAGCATTTGTGAGTCTCCGATAATGTATCGGTATCCCCAAATATGTGATGGGAAACTGACCCAACCCGCATCCGAACAGTTGAGCGTACAGGTGGGCCTCGTCTTGAGCCTCGCCAAAGCAAAACAATTCACTTTTATGAAAATTGATCTTTAGACCCGAGAGTTGCTCGAATGCTGATAAAATTAGTTTCAGATTTCTCGCTTTCTCGAGGTCATGATCCATGAAGAGAATCGTATCATCGGCATATTGAAGTATAGAGAGACCACCATCAACTAGATGATTTACTACCCCATCAATTTGGCCATCAACCTTGGCACGCTCAATCATGACCGCTAGCATATCCGCCACTATATTGAATAGCATGGGCGATACCGAGTCACCTTGTCGCAATCCTTTCTTCGTTTGGAAATAGTGTCCAACATCATCATTGACCTTAATGGCAACACTACCTCCAGAAACGAAGCTATGGATCATAGCGCGCCACTCTTCAGAAAATCCTTTCATTCTGAGAGTCTGTTGAAGAAAAGGCCACTTGACTTTGTCATAAGCCTTTTCAAAGTCTATTTTGAGTACCACCCCATTTAACTTTTTCCGGTGTAATTCATGGACTGTTTCATGAAGGACAACAACTCCATCTAGGATGTGTCTGCCTTGCATAAAAGTTGTCTGTGAAGGCCGAACCACATGTTCAGCAACCGAATTTAGCCTAGTAGTCGCAACCTTTGTGAATATTTTAAAACTAACATTAAGGAGGCAAATAGGTCTATATTGTTGTATCCGTTCAGCCTCATTAACCTTAGGTAATAAAATAATCTCACCGAAGTTTAAGCGGAACAATTCCAGTTGGCCAGCATGTAGGTCGGTAAACAAAAGTAGGAGATCCGGTTTGATGACTTCCCAGAATTTCTGATAGAACTCAGCAGGAAAACCATCCGGACCCGGGGCTTTGTTATGCTCCGTTAGGAAAACTGCCTTTCTAACTTCCTCCTTGGAGTATGGGGCTGTTAGAAGGTTGTTTTCCTCATCAGAGACCTGAGGGATGTCATCTGTTCGGGTCTCATCCATCGAGAAGTTTCCTTCCTCTGGGGCTCCGAACAGATTTTTATAATAATTAGTGATATAAGATTTAAGTTGCTCATGCCCCTCAATCACTCCCTCATCCTGTTGTAGGGAATGAATAATTTTCTTTCGGTGTCTGCCATTGGCGACTCCATGAAAATATCTAGTATTCGAATCACCTTTCAGGATAAATTGCGAGTTAGAATGTTGGTACCATTTGAGTTCCTCTTCACGCAGCATGTTTGCTATCTGTGCATTTGAATGATTCTTGATCTCAATTTCATGCTCAGATAGAGGTCTAACCTCTGCCAAAGCTTCTAATTCATCAATGATAGATGAAAGACGAGGCTTCTCCTTTTTGAGGATACCCACCGTATGCCTAGCCCAACCACGAAGGAATTTACGTAATGCACGCATTTTGTTATTCCATCTGTGTATTGGGGTAGGCCCGGCGACTGGTTTCTCCCACACTTCCTTGACCATGTCATGGAAGCCATCCCGAAGCAACCACCCAAGTTCGAACTTGAACTTGCGTCTATGTTGTGGTCGTGGCAACCCAGTAGTTAGAAGAATGGGTGCGTGGTCTGATAAAGCCTCGATACGAGGTAGAGCACGAACAGAAACCATAGGAAATTTTGATTCCCATTCGGTATCCATTAAAACGCGATCTAGTTTTTCATATGTCAGTTCCGGAAGACTGTTCGCCCATGTGAATTGTCTTCCAATCATAGAAACCTCTCGCAAATCTAGACTATCGATGACAGCATTGAAAAGGAAAGGCCAATGATTATCGAACCTACCACGGCTTTTCTCATTTGGAAATCGAAGCAAGTTAAAATCCCCACCTATAAGAATGGGATAGGGATTATCTTTCGCCAGGTTAACCAATTCACGAAGAAAATCGGCCTTGAACTCATCCTGGGCTGCCCCATACACGGCGACGAGGGTCCATGTGAAGTTGTCGGCCTTGTTGCGAATATGGAGTTTAACATGAAACTCGCCATTCGAACTAGCCAAAACATCCATAGTCCCTGTATTTACGCCAAGTAAAATGCCCCCAGAACGACCTCTAGGTGGTCGCGAAACCCAAGTAAAGTCTATCCCGCCAGAAAGACGGTTAAGCAGACTTACTGAGAAATCACGTCTACCCGTTTCAGAGATAGCCAAAAAATCTAAATTGTATTCCCTATTACATTCTGCAATGAATAAATGTTTAGCCAAGTCACGAAGACCTCTGCTATTAAAAAACATTCCATTCATGAGGAAACAATAGGAGATTTAGAACACTTTGCCCTCTTATGGGACTTACTATCTTTTTTCGAATGTGCGGTCTTTGATTTACGTCCGGATGCTGTAAGCTCAATCAATGAACTAAGCCCGGGTTCATCTAGACCCACGTCCGAAACCGCCCCTACTAAATGAGAGAGTAGCTGACCATCTGGTGTGGCATGCATCTCTTCCTCATCAGTACAGGAGACATAAGACTTGCTAGAAACACGTGGAGTAACTTTTAATCGGTCATATTCCACATGTTTCAAAGCGTTAGTCGAAATAGAAATATCCTTCTCATTCTTTCCAAGACTGACACCCACTTTATTTAACTTAGAAACGATGGCAGTATTAGAAAAATCAAAAAAGGATTTGGGTGACGACGTAATACCTTGGTTGTCGAGGTTTTGCGCTGCCTTACGCCGCATAGCCTTGGCCAAAGAGTCCTCATCTGTGTCCATAGAACCGTCGTCGGCAACAGAATGCCGACTACTCCGTCGTGTAGGTGTCATCCCCATTGGAGGTTGTGGCGCCTGCTCTACTGTCGGTGAAGGGGATGATGGTGGAGTAGCAACCCCCTCCCCGACAATCTCAACCACAGGCTCGAACGACGAGGTCATTGTCTGAAGAGGGGCCGGACCAGTCGTACCAGTGAATGCGGGAGAGATGGACGTGGCCGGCTCCACCTGCAGCTGAAGGGCGTCCAAACTCGTAGAGTCAACTGTCTTTACAATCTGTACAACAGGAGGTTGCATGGCCTTCACCTGGGGCTTAAGAGCAGCCACGGGTGCGTGCATGCATGGCTGCACACCCGAGGTCGGCCTTTCAGCACCATGGCTAGCCGGTGCATGCATCCACTCCGGTCCTGCGGCACCACGCCCAGCCGCAGTATGCATGCATGGTTGTACACGGGAGGTCGGGCCTTCAGCGCCACACCCAGCCAGGGCCAGCTTGCCCAGCTCATCACGAGCAGGTAGCTGGGCGACCGCCTGCAGCGCAGCTAGTTTCTGGTGCTTCGAAGCCCCGTCCGGTCCCCATGCCGTGTCGCCTCTGTCCTGCACCGTAATGGAAGCAGCCAGCTGTGTCGCTACCGTCGGTATTGGCGACGACGATTGCAACGCCACCTGACCCGCTAGCTGTCGGTGCACCGATGATGAGTCTGGGCGTCCCGCCGAGAGGCCGGTGGCCTGCACCGACTTGGAGTTGAACGGAGTGACTACAGTTGAAGGGCCACCTCCTGGCACACCACCAAGGCCAATGCTCGCGAGTTCCCGTCGTTGCACCTGAGGCATTTGAATGTCTTCCGCTTGGGCAGTACTAGAAGATGAATTGATGGTTTGGTTGCCAGTGTGTTCCGAGGTGTCCATCTCATTATCCTTCTCCTAACATACGAGATGGTCCCCGTGCTCGAGTCGCCCAGCTTCGTGGCCAGCAAGAGCATCCCTAACATGGACATCCAAGGTAAAGATGCTCCTACTCAAATGGTACATTCAGTCTAATCAGATCAAGCGTGTATACGGGCGCCATGTGCGGAAATAACTTGACATGAAAGGGCACTATTAACATTACGTGATGGATGATCTTTCCGTAAGCTTGAAATGTCAACACTTTGGTTGGGTCAAAGAAATAAACGTAATATGAAACAAGCCTGTTCGTAATATCATAACATCAGAACGAATATGGTTGAATTGATTAACAAGCCTGCTCATATATGAGAACCGTCTGAATTATGTACTGTAGTGAATTTGAATGGTAGACGAAAGAAGTGACCGGACGTGCTGAAACACTTACGCATGACCTGAAAGCACATGATGATGGAACGCGGGTGAGACCGGGCGTTTCATGGAGGACTTGCATGAAAGCACATGAGATGCATGTGCCTATTGACGGAGCTAACCAGGCACACATGAGCAAGCAGAGTGAACGTTTGTACGATCGAAGTGAAAAATAATACTTCCATCTAAACGCTCTTACATTTCTTTACAGAGGAAATAGAAGTTAAAATCGGTCGTAACTACACCATATGTCGTTGATAATTAAAAAAAGATAATTAAATACTAACATTATCGCATGATTTTTGCTTGAAGGGCGAAGGTTTCGCTTCGGAACCATCGAAGGCCAAAGCGTCGTCATCGTCATGACTGGACTGAGCATGGTAAGACCGTACATACTACAGCATTATATTTTGTGTAGCAGTGTATCTTACAAATACTCAGAACTTAACGAACTGTTGCACCATGGAATGGAATCAATGACTGCAGCTCAACGCTGGTCTGACCACCCAGATGCTGCTGAGCCTGTTCCGGGTGAAGGGCATCGTCCACTGGGGCATCGCTGGCAACGCCAACGAGGACCTCCAGATCGGCGACGTCACCATCCCCGAATACTGGGCCCACGTTTCCCTCTGGAACTGGCAGGTAGTACAAATTTGGTATTAGAAAACGTGAACATGTCATGGTCGTCCAGGATTTTGATTTGTGGTGCTACCAAAATTTTGTCGATTGGGCGGCCAGCGGTTCGGCGACGGCAAGGATAACGAGCTACCGCTGGAGGCCGCCGGCGACTACACCCGGGAGTACGGCTTCCTCAACTTCTCCGACTACACCGTGGGGCAGAGCAACCCGGCGCTATCCGCCAACCAGCTCAACAGCATCTGGTACCAGCCGGAGGAGATCTTCCCCAAGTCCGGCGAGCCCGAGGAGCGGCAGCACGCGTTCTGGGTGCCCGCCAGCAAGCGGTACTACGCGCTGGCGGCGAAACTGGAGGGCATGGAGCTGCCGGCGTGCGTGAACGCGACGACGTGCCTGCCCCGCGCGCCGCGGGTCACCCGGGTCAGCAAGGGCTGCAGCGCCAACGTGTTCCTGGACAACGCCGAGTACCGCCAGTTCCTCCGCAAGCAGTTCGAGTGCACCCCCGTGGAGATGGAGAGCGCCGCCGTGGCCCTCGTGGCGCACACGCAGGGGGTGCCGTTCCTCACCATCCGCTCGCTCTCCTACCTGGCCGGGGGAGGCTCCGCGCTCGGGAACGAGGCCAGCACCTTCATCGACATCGCCGCCAAGAACGCCGTCGAAGTCATGCTCAAGTTCGTGCCGCTGCTCGGGAAGGGCGGCGACGAGATGGAGGACGGCGCGGCCGCGGACATGTGAGCCAGCAGCCGCTTGTCCATGCATGAATAATCGGATGCCCGTGCGTGGTGTATCGTCTCGCTTTCCCTTTTTCCTTTTTTTCTTGCGCCGCGCTATCGATAAGGCCTGCGAGCCCTAGCTCAACAGTTGGTGAGCCCACGACCACGACGAGTTGCAGAGATGAATAAATAAATCAAATAGTCGGCCTAATGCCGTTTGTCCGGATTCCCAATAGTGTGCAATTTAACCAAACGCACTCAATTGAATCACGCCACCGATGTACGTATGTGCTTACATCTACGTGATGCAGTACAATGTTAGTACTCTCACCGTTTCTTTTCACTTGGCACATTGGTTTTGTCTTGAGTTAAAAAAATAAGTCCATATTCATAAAAAATCAACATTCATAATATCAAATCAATATTATTAGATACATCATAAAATATATTCTTATACTGTATTTCTTTCGTATCGTAAATTTTGTTTTTTTAATGTAATTTTGATCAAAAATTACAAAATTTGACTTATGCAAAACGAGAAAGCTAAGTACCTGCCGACTGGTGGTTAGCAACAGACACGCACGCTTCCGTCATCCTCGATTGTTGGCTCATTTTTTTCAGAAAAGTAGCAGCAATAGGAATCGAACCCCGCACATACAGACTCGCTATAGATTTTTGACTATACCCAATGACCATCTCAGTCAACTACATGTTTATGTTTGGAGGTGGGCTAATTTTGTAGATACTTGATTACCGCAAGTAGGCCACTGCTATAGTGCAGCCGTCCATCTATAGTGTAGATCTGGCGAACATAATTTATCATTTTTTCTCTCTCCAGATCCTTTTGTTCGCCAGATCTGATTTCTTGCTTTCCTCCCAATCCATTTTTTCCCTCTCTAGATTTTTTTTTCGTTTGAGATTTTTTTTTCACGCAAAAATTGGTGTGAACAAGAGAGGATTCGATCCTTGCACCACTAGTGAGCCAACTCAACTAGCCTACCATCTGACCTACGATCTCTTTCTTGAACAAAAGAAAGTAAATGGGCTATTTAACATGTCTCATCTACTACGTATGCATAAAAACGAGTTAATTTAGTGTTCGATTTTTTCCGCGCTTAGGTACCCCGTTCCTGCTAACTTTACCAACCGGGGAGGGAGGGGTGATGAAATATCCTCCGTTAACTTTCGTGTAAATAACATGGTAACTCAAAATTCATATACCCGATAACTTATGTACCCCGGTCCTAAAAACTTTGTCGGCGAGGGTGGGGGTGGGGGAGTTGTTGAAACATACCACGGTAACTTCTGTGCAAATAACATGATA